TCACAACAATGTGGAACGTTAAATGTTATGACTCAAGTCATAGTACTTGGGTGATAAGAAAGAGCAAAGGTCTACACCTACTATGTTGGGGCCACTGAAAAAAAAAACCCAAAAAACCATATTTTAATAATTTAACCAAAGAGTTACATTATAAGCTTAATAATTTATGCTGCAATGGCATACCACAGTCTTTCAGCACCACTCAATGAAGAATTCCAGTTAATGTAGCATTTTACTCAAACTCCCTGACATCCCTGACCATGATCATTTCAAAACAGCTTGCCAGTTATAATATTCTACTGTATAATAGTAATACATTTTCAAAGAGCATCTCATGGATCATTTCTTCACTCCATCCAAAATAGTTTCTCCTTTTTTTTTTTTTGTTTTCTAGGAAGTGGGAAAATTGTTTACTTTCGTACTTCATACTTCTCATGCACATATAAACTAAAGTTATATGCATATATACAGAGTAACATCACAATGCACCTCAGCTATAGCAATTTTCCTGCCCACTCTTTCTGTAATACAGAATGAAAGCTTACGGGGGCTTCTGGTCTTCCATTTTGACTAAGGGAGTACTTGTCCATTCTTAAGGCACATATAACAACAGATTTTATCATTTCCAGTATGCTTTGCAAACAGTAAAAATGCAGTATTGAAAACTGTCCTGAGAAACACTTTATAAAGTTTTTTATTAAATGACTGAGTTCTGTAGGACTGTCTATTATCTTCTTCCCCTCAGAATGAATCCTAAAGTAACACATTGAGGGATATGGGCTAATGTATGCTCATTAGAGCAATGACATTTTGTTTGTAAGAGGTAGGCAGTCACAGGTCACCTTTTGTACAACCAGCCCAACTGCATCTATGACAAAACACAAGAGTGCAGGTAAAGCACAGGTAAATTTATTGCACCACTTTTGCCAGATAAAAATGCACATGTTTAAACAGTGTACTACCCAGCTCTGTTACAAACCACTGATGTCTCCAACGCGCATTCAGAAGCCACTTAGCGGGAGGAAAAATGCCGTTCACACAAAATAAATTAGACGGGCGCTTGGCAAGAGCTCAAATGGGAGCACAAAGAATGCAGGCAGTGCACTTGGAGTGATCAACAACACTTCGTACTCCCTCTACTGGGACGGGTAAATAAGGAGGGGGGGGAATAAAGGAGAGCCCCAAACCACAAAGGCCGTGCGGCTAAGCACGTTAACAGCAGCAGCCTAAGAAATTCACACCCGTAAAATAGAAGGAGACCGGGCACGTAGCGCGACTGATTTCAAACGCGCGGGCCAGCGGAGCGGGGCTGCAGGAGGCCAGAGCGCCCTCGGGTCCCCGCAGCGCTGGCGGCGCTTCCCGAGCTCGCCCGGCCCCAGAGGCAGCTGCCCCGCTCTCCCCGTGGGTCCTCGCCGCTGCCGCGCGGCCG